TTTTGCATCATTTTTCTTCTCTCACATAGACATCATTTTTCATGATTTATCACTCATAGACATGATTTTCTCCTCAATCTTCACCATTTTTCTTGCTCAAAATCACAAATCTTCAATGGTATTGATCCTCCCCACCTATGATCATCGTCTTCTTAAAACCATATCTTCCATTTCTTTGAAAATCTCCCTCCTCCTTTTTCATCTTCTCCATTTTCAGATGTGCTCATGTTAGTTTCTTCAACTAGTTGCTCATGGTTTGGTGGAAGCATTGATTCCAAGCACTTTTTTGGACTCAAATTAGTAAGATAAGATTGTTTAAACTTATTCCTACCCACTAGTCTCTTCTTTAAACTAATTTTTGTAGAATTTATGGTTAGGGTTTTCTTTTTTAGGGATGCCCAACCATTGGGTTCGAGTTTTATCGTGATTTTGAAGTTAAATAGGTGTTATGCAAGTGTAATAATGATTATGATGATTAAATTTAAGAGTTTGGATGGATTTAACAGTGTTGGCTAAAGAAAAATCATAATTATGATTTCAATATATATCACGTTCAAATATTTTGATGGATTTAATAATATATATTTTATATACACTTTTTGGTCTTATTTTTGTCTTTCTTTCATTTTCATGACTTGAAAAATTCATCATTTTCAAATCAATTACATGCATGTTTTGGTGTTGATGAATATATATAGTAGCAAACATGTTGTTCTTAAAATCATCAGCTGAGTGGAGTTTTCTTAGAATCCACTATTTTATATTAGTCCAAAATTCTTCAATTTAATTTTTTTTAAAGATGTATTAGTCACTAACTTCATAATCTTACTCATGCATAGGGCAATGAGAACATATCAATTATCCTTGAAGCATGCATATAAATTCAAGGATCTTATGAGAATTGGGCCAAAAGCAAGTGAGTCTAACGCTTTATGAACTTATTTAATCATTTCTTATCAATTATATAAAGCCATAAACAAACAATGAAGACTAACTTATGCGGCCTTTTATGGAGAGTTTTTAAGTTCAGATAGTTCTAAACAACATTAACAAGTTTGTTGGCTTTAGGTAAGTTTTGTAATACCTTGTGGTTAGTTGATTGTGACAATTTAATTGTTGCAAATTGTAAAGGAATTATGTTAGATAGTTGATATGTTTGGATAATTAAAATGGATTGTATTGTTTAGATAAAAATTTTATATGAATTGTACTGTCTGGTTGATTATTTTTGTGTACAAGGATGTGATAGTGTATAGAAATATATATTATGTATATAAAAAAAATCACTTTTATATTGGTTCTAATCATAACCTATGTAAAAAGTTAATTTTCTACATCAGTTGTAACAATAACCAATGTAAAAAACTCACTTTTTACATCAGTTATAGTAACAATTGATATAGAAAATTAACTTTTTTCACTGGTTGTGATTATAACAATGTAAAAAGTGGGGTATTAATTTATTTTTAAAAAAATTACATGACTTTCTACATCGATGATGACTTTCAATATTTTATTGAATTTATTGGTGCTTTAATTGTAATTGCAAGTCCTTTATTTGAATTTTGTTAGCAAAAATATGATTAAATAGATGAATGTGTGTGAAAATGAGCTTGAAAATATGTTAAAAGTTAGTGGATCAATTCTATTATTTATTTTAAGTTTTATGCATGTAGGGAGGCCCAATTTAGGGGCCCAAAGAAGAAAATTTTTGAGTCCAAATCAACAAAATTAAATTTAAAAAGAAAATTTAAATAGGTCATCTTCACTACAATGAAGTGCGATTTTAGTAAAACACATAGTTTGGACTTTTAGCAAATTTTTAGGGCTTAAGCATCTCATTTTCGACTATTATTCACTTCTAACAGCTATAAAACGTCTAGGAAGAGAGAAAAGAGCCAAAGAAGGGTTGGAGAAGCTTTGGTTTGGTGAAAAATCAAGGGTTTTGCTCAAGATTGATTTGATTATGCTTTTCTTCTCCTTCTTCTCTTTACTTTGCTGTATATATTGTTGATTTTGTTGTTATAGAAGCCATGTGTGGCTGATTTTCTCTTAATCTAGCATAGCTATGAACTGATTTTTGGCTTAGAGAATGTTCGGACCATTTATTTAAGCTTAATATTAATTTTGTTTACTTAATCTTATGCTTATTTGTCTACTTAATGCTTGGCCATCATTAAGTGTGAATTTGGAGATTTAGGTTTTGTCTTGGAAGAGAAAAATCTAAATTTGACCATTAGATTGAGTAATGTGGGATTAGAATTTATTTTAATTTGTCAATAGGATAGGAATATACCTATTGGAGCCATATAATCACATTAGAGTGAATTTGTGTCATTTTGCCTCTTGGATAATTGTGTTAGAAATAATAAATTAATTTAAGAGAGGGGTGTAATTAATCGAAAGATAATTATTCCTATTAATTCTCTAGATTAACAAATTAATATTAAGTGAATTTATTTAGATAATTACATGTTCTATAAATTAAAAAAGGGATTAGCCACTCTAGATTGCCTTGATTGTTTGTGGTTGTTAGAATTTTAATTTTAATGTATTTTTCTAATTTTAATCCTTATTTTGCAAAAATCAAATCTATATCTTGCTTTGCTCAACTTAAATGAAAATGAAGACTTTATTGCCTAATTACCAATTAACTTGATTCTTTGTGGGATCAAACTTGATTGGCTGCTTACTAATTACAAATCATATACTTGCAGTAAAACATAATTGTGTGCATCAATCGGCTATAGAATCAATGTAAAACATCAAGGACTTTCTATACTTTTTGAACAATACCGCCTTATGAACAATATCTCTTGATGAAGGCTTCCATGGTGGACTTGAAGATGGAACTTGAAGGCTACCGAAGAGATTCCTAGGAGGAATATGAATGAAGATTGAATGCTAACTTGCCAAGAATTCTCTTATTCTAGTTTTCTCATTCCTACTCTTTGTTGTAATTCTTAATTAGATTGCAACTGTGATATGCGTGTAATTCTAGTTGGAGTTCATATGTTCTTGAATGGGAATGCTTGTCTTGTATCTCCTCTTGTTATAACTTGAGGCTTTGATCCGTTTCCAATATAATAATTGCATAATTTTGTATTGTCATATTGATAGTCTTGAATTTGCTTTGCATAATTTTGTGAGTGATTTCATGACTCGTCTTAATGGATTTGCATAATTTTGTAACCTTCCCAAGCACATTCTTAGCCTTGGCCATAGCATTAAGAGGATCTAGACACATTGATAATTCCAATCTAATTAGTGAAACTAGTGGAGACAACTAGCTAGAGTAATCAATGTTTAATTACCTTGGATTGACCAATGAGAAGATTTTATAAAGCATTTCATAATTGAGATAATGATATATTTATCATCTAATTCCTAGTTATCACCATCTTTCATAAGGGACTCAAAACACTCTTTACTTGCTTTTATCACTTTAGTGATTTAGACTAGTTTTAACATTTGAACTCAATCTTTGGATAACTTGTAACACTTTTAAACACTTTCATAATCAATTTGGCTAAGCTTTTAGGGAAATGATCTATATTACACCTTAATTGCACTAGAATTTAGTTTAATTAAATAATTTGGTGCAAAACAACATTATAATCAAGCCCATCACCGCCATTGTCAAAGTATAAATATTTCCGTGGGTGCACCTAATGAGTGTGTGAGAAACAGAAGCGAGAAAGAAGTAAAGCAAGCGGAGTGAGGTGAAATGTGTGAGTGAGGTGACTTGACAAGAAAATTGGGTGAAAGTGTAAGAAATGAAATATGATCGTGAGTTCAGTGGGAGAAAAGTGAAAGTCTTCTGGTGTAATGTTTTCTTAATTTAAAATCAAAGTCTTCTTTTTATTTAAGTCCCTCATTCCTTCTCCTAGCTAGAGCCAGGAATAAGGGCCGAGCCTGGAGAGCCGGGCTTGTAGGCCCTGTTTAAATAAAAGTTCGGGTTTTGAAAATTATTTTTTTTCAAAGGAACTAGACTTGAGAACCTGGCCCTGATAAGCCCTATGAAAAAGAGCTCGGGCTCGGGAGGCCCTCCAAGCCCTGATAAGCCTGATTATTTTATATATATTTATATACATACATAAATATATTTGATTGATGATGACACAATTTGATCAATATTTATTATAGATGATGAAGAAGAAGTTGTAAAGATAATTAACATTGAATTTTCACCTCCATCTTCATTCTTCAACAAGTACACTTACATTCGAGAGATTTAATGTTTTATTTATAGATGATGAGGATAAAGAGGATTTGAGTTTTGATTGATGAATGTGTGTTGTTTAAATTTCTAAATATGTTGTTTAATTTTTAAAATATTGTGTGGATTTTAATTTTTTAAATTTCAAAATATTTTAATTAATTTACAATATTAAATTTTATTTTAATTTTTTTATTTTTTTAACAGGGTTTTCAGGCCCGGCCCTGAGCCCTTTACATAAGGGCCGGGTTTCGGAAAAGGGACTAAAAATATATAACCGGGCTCAAGAGCCTAGGCCCTTAAGGGCCGGGTAAGTTCGTATTCCTACCTCTACTCTTAGCTTAGCACCAATTATTTAGAAGTTCCCCACTCAAAATCCAATAATCTACATATTAAAACAATTAATTAAAGTCATAAATCACTCAAATATATATAATAGATATAAAAAGTATTGAATATATTTATGTAAAACCCTAATATTAAAATTATTTAATCATATAAACTGGATCTTTATCAGAAGTGGGACTACATCTTTTCCTAGCGTGAACTAGCAAGGGTCATTGGTTCCTGTCAATGTACTCATATGTTTTCACCAACTCATAATTTTATCTAATTTTTAATTCTATTTTTCAATTATACTCAAAATCAATCTAATTAATTAATTTTATAAATCAATTACACCACACAACGTAATCAATTATAGTCAAAATCAATTTGACAAATCAATTTCACCTGTAATCAATTTTATTTAGTTAATCCTAATCCAAACACACCCCAAGCCTGCCTTCCAAATCAATGGTTGAAACTGAAAAGGGTTCCAAGACCAAAACTTTGAAACAGAAAAGCATTAACAGCATCCAAGACACTACATTGAAGCAGAATATTAAAAACAACTTTATTCAAGTTAAAACCATCACGTTGAGCATTATTAACAATTTAATCATACTTCTTTCCTTTGAGCTTTCCCTTGGAGATCCTGCTGAGAAAACCAGCATCAAGGCTTAAGCGGTTCTGCATCTCATCAAGAATCTTGTACACGAAGTTGTCGACTTCATCTTCGTGCCTTTCATACAGAACTGGGAGTGTGTGTGCAGCCACAAAACCTTTGGACACAACTCACGTTTCAGCAATCAAAAAGCATCTCATAAACACTTGAGAATTTGAATAGAAAGACAGAAGCATCAATGTTCAACTTTCTACAAAGTATAATGCACATGAATTTTCCAGAACAGGTCATGCCACATGAAATGGTTACTGAGCACTTATTTGACATAAGCTTCTAGAAAAGCTAAGCATATAAAACTAACTAGTAAGGTTAGAGAACCCAAGGTTTATAATAGTTCCCAATTAAGGACTCATTTGTTGTACTGGATTCAAATCGCATACATTTGACGCGCAATTCGATCATAACACTCCCAGTATGCATTTTTTATGCATATATAAGTTCACATCATCAGATTGCCTCTGATTCTTTGAACCAAAGGGGCCATTAGGATATGTTAAGTACACTGAATGAAAAATAATGAAATGGGGAAAAAAGATTTTTAATGTAAAAAGTAACTTTGCTACTCATATTTTTAAGAAGTAATAAAAAGGATAAAAACTGTTAAATAATTATTAAAAGAGAATTATTGACATTAAAAACAGTAATAGAAATAGATAATTATCACATTAAAAACAGGGGCTGACTGTCCAAAATAATTTCTTATGCTTCCTAGCATCACTCTCCATCATACAAGCTTAACCTGATCTTCCCAATGCTATGATGGTGTTTCGGATTTGTTACAGCCTATGATTGCAAACAGAGAAGACCGAGTTATAATTTTAGAGATTATGAGAAAGCACCAATAATAACTTAATTCATACAATCCTCAAGAAAGTTTTCTTATTTTTTGAGTTATGAGTCCTTAGGTGTTATTTTCCCAACAAATTGAGCATGCCAAGAAAAAGGAGGTCACCCACCAATATAAATGACAGTGAGAAAATTGCACCAGCCTCCAATCACAGCCGCAGACATCAAGCTACCAACAACCTGAGGATTCTTTGATTGTTAGTCACAAATTTCATGGAAAAGTAAGTAAAGATTAAATAAGAAGCAGCAGCTGTAGTTGATGGTAAAGTAGAAATGCATCATTGTGGTTTTTCATTGCTTATTTTTCTCAGTAAATTACACCAGTTTCTTTGCAGTTTAAATAAATTACGATAATCTTTTTTTACATACATTTTGATATCATGCTAGGAATTTGAAGGCTACACAAGAAGCTCCCATGAACAAAATTAATGTATCAAAATTGAAAGATGCAGTTCTAAAACAAAACGAATTGATTGAAAAGCAAATGCAGAAAGCAAAAGCTAGTGTCAGAAAGCAAAGAATGGTTTCTCCTGTAAAGTTATAAATTTGTGTCAAAATGACAATAACAAAGTACAAAAGAACATAGAAGAGCAACATACAACAAGAAATTGCTTCAAGTTTCCTCCACAAGAAACATCTTGAATAAACCTCAAACCCCGGTTAACCTCAGCACCTACTGTTTTTGCGATGTTGACAAAGAAATCTTCTGGGAGAGCAAGGCGTGGAACTTCAGATGGAACACTGTGTCACCATAAAGAAAAATACACTTGAAGCTGTGCAGTGCCATATCACATCTGAATAAATTCATGTAACAGCAGAGATGGGAATGCTTTCCAATAAAAACCTGCTAGAATAGCCAGAAGCATTTGACCAAACAAACTGCACAAGCATGATAAGAACCAGAGCAAAGCATACAAGAGTCAGGAGATGATAATTAAGCCATTCAAAAAGCACCCATACAGATGTTGCACTAGTTAAAACACTAGCAGAAATCTTCTTGTCCCTCCATAATAAGACATCAGCAGCTATGACATCAAAGGACAAAAAAAATATATAAGCATAATTATAATCATAATAACAATGATATAAAATCAGCTGAGGCCAAGTGGTGGCCTTTTTATATGTTAATATTACACTGAGTTGAACTTTCATACATTTTCCACCCCCTAAAAGATGGTGCACAGGCTTCTGACGTCCAAAAAGTCTCCTAAACTGAGAATGCAGTGAGTTTGAACTCTCTCCCTCAAAGAATGAAACAGGTTTCCGCTTCTCAGCAAATGTATCCATGAGGTTGTTAAGGAGGTTCTCAGCTGAGATTTTGTCAGCCATAGTTACAGATCTTCTCTAAAATATAAACCTAAGAGGGGAAAAAATAAAAGATTTTACATAATAATTCCAATACCTACCATCACAGTGTCATTCTAAAACAACTGCAGAGCACACAGAAAGTGAATGTGAGAGACTTGATTGTTTTCTAATGCATGACAAATGAGAAAAGCGCTGGACATCAGAGAACACCGCAACGTCAAAACGTATTTCACAACTCTTTTGAAACTAACTTATTTCCAAATATTCTCTATTTTGTTTCCAAGCAGCGAGCTTCATCACTTTGCCTAGTGAAGCTTTAATTCTTCTGTAAGCACACAGCCCTTCATAAACAATAACATCTTTCATCTTGAAAATTTTTTTTCATTTAATCCCACCAATAAGAAAATCAAGAACTTAAAAAAAATTTCAAGATTAAACTTTGATTTCTTGAACCTTCAGCTCTCCATGTAATTGTGCAAAGTTTTCACAAAGACCAATCCCAATTCAATGAAGTGTTATGGCCCAATCTGAGTCACATTTTCTGGTTAGTTTAGAACCAAAAGGAACCAATAGACATTTGACAACCACAGTAAACGAGGATTGGATGATACACTAATAATAGTTGTTAACAATCTCGTAAAAAGGAAATAAAAGGAGTGAATGTGAAACAGGCAGAAATCGATAATGCTGTAGCTTGAGGTAGGCTTCAATAGTCAAATCTATCCCACAAAGAAAGCATAGTTGCCTATTTTATTCAATTCAGAAGAAAATATTAATAGGATTGTCTTTTGGGTAGGCAAGCTAGGAAAGCATCTTACAATTCATCATAAAAATTAACTGCTGTAGGGCAGAGTACTTCCACACCCAGGCCAAAGGAGCTGGTTTATACCCATTACTTTGATGTCCAAAGAAAACAATGCATCTGCCTCTCTCCTTTTTTCTTCATACTTCCTTCAAAATTCAGATGCACCTTACAAACTTCCAATTTCAAAAGACTCAAATCACTCTCCTCAGTCAATTGATTATGTTAGCTCATTAGTGGCCAATAATAGAGCGCTTGCATACACATTGGAAAGAATCTAACCTACTCCTGAATTCTTCACTAAATCCATGAAGCTCAGATGCAGAGACTTTTGCATCTGCAGGCTGTATCATGCCTTGAATTCAGCATATCAATTAATAACATGGTAGGAATTTCAACACTATCCTTATAGTAGCGTGGCCCGAGAATTTCCTAGGCAGTGCAGATTGCTTTTTCTTGGTGGGAACATGGAAGGAGAGAAGGTAAGCCTCAACGCTGGATAAACATTTTGAAGATCAAATAATTCATGTCCTAATTTCTAGCATATATTTTATACTACAGAAATCACGTAGCGCCAACAGATGAAAAGAAAATTCGTTTCAAACTTGGCCCCATAGAAAAGTTGATAACCCAGGTCCACAGGTGTTGTTACAGAAAAAGGTAGTGGGAACGCTAGACTTCTTAATGCTTCATAAGCAACAAACCAAAAAAAAAAAAAAACGCATATATAAACCAGCTAGAGAGAGAGAGAGAGAGAGAGAGAGAGAGAGTTTTCTTCCCAATAGCACAGTGAAACGCAGAACTTCCAGAATTTAAACCTCCATCATCTCAACCACCCACAATTATATTCATAGTCAATGAAGTTTCGTCCTAATAAATTCATCTTTCAAATTTTCGTCCCGATACCATGAGAGAGATCAATTTTCGTCTCAATCATCCACAACTACATTCATCTTCGCACCCCAAAAAAATCGCAACGAACGAATTTACCCTAAGCCAGGAGAGATTAAATTATATTGCAACGCAAACGTCGATCAGAGCATAAAAGTAAAAAATACATACATATATATATGATTAGCTAAGCATGCAAAAGATTGAGAAGAAATGAACAATCAGTGCACTTACCAGAGTGCGCAGGGGAATCGACGTAGATTAAAGCAAAAGGGAAAAGCAGAGAGAAAAGATGGTGGATGATGAGGGATTAAAATGGCGTTGGAAGAATCTGCAGGTGTTGAAAACTGCATGCGGAATCTCTTACAAGTTTCTGCTTCAAAGTGGAAACGGTCGTCGTTGACCAACCCAAGTGATCCACCTACCGGCGGTGACGGACTGGAAAAATTCATCAGAGGGGCAATGTTTAAATTAAATATAAGAATAAAATATATTTTTAATTATTTAACTTTATATAATATTTTAATTTAATTTTTTAATTTTATAAAAAATTCAATTCCATACTCCTAACATTATTAATTTTAAGTAATTATTTTTTATACTAATTATTATTATTTTAAATAAATTAAATTTAATATATCAACATTTGATAATATTTTATCAATTTTTAAAAAGTTAATGTAAAATTTTCTAATGATGCTAAAATTTAAAAATCAAAAAATATTTTATAAAATTAAAAAATTAAAATAAAATTTTATATAAAATTGATGGACTAAAAATATAGTCTAGCCCAAACATAAATATTGATACTTTTTAAGAAAATATAATTATAAATATTAATTAATTTAATATATAGATAAATTATTTAAAAAGTTTAAAAATATATATTAATTTTATTTGTATCATAAATTTATTTTTATGATAAATATAAAAGTAAATAATATATATATATATATATATACTTGATAATTTTAAAGAGGGTATGGGGTAATTATTTTTTGAGGGAGACAATTGTAATTTAAAGGAGGAGCAAGTGTAAATTTAACTAAAAATTAAATGTGATGTTTGCTATTTTACCCCCAAGCGTGGGTACGTCCCTGCCTGCCCGGATGCTTAAATTTGAAGTCATGAAATAGTAACTCTTTTTCGTTCTTTTTTTATTTTTTTTTCCTTTTTTCATTTTTGGAATTTTCTTTGACGGTGTCATTGGCGGATTTGAACTTTTGGTTGTTTCTGCCTTCTGGAGGGTGAAACATTTTAAGAAGAACCCCGCGCTGATCCTATGCTTTTTGGTCAAGAAGGAAAAAGTAAAAAAGAATATATTGGGTCTAATATAAAAAGCATTAGGTAATTTATATATGTGTGTGTGTATGTGTAATATATATATAAATATATATAATGGTGTTACAAAATGAGATAATTATTTTGAAATCTTAAGACTTTACAACTTAGTTTTATTATTGGCAGCTATATTTTTTATATTAACAACTTTACTTTTATTATTAAGAATTTTAGTTTAGATTTTAATAATTATGCTTTTTTTATTTTGTTGAAAGTGAAAAAACTAATTTTGCAAAAAAATCTATATCAAATTAGTCTATAAAGACTTCAAGATAATTACTCCATTTTATGATACTTATTTATCATTTTCTTATTTTACTAGAATTTATTTATTATTCTCCCAAGTAAGAACCTCCTTGTTCAACTAACTTGATTTCTCTATATCTTTTTTCTTGTGTATTCCCTTCGTTTTTTCTCGTCAGGCTTGTACCTTTTTTTCTCTTCATTTCTTATAATATCTTATTTTTTCATTTCATCTTTCATTTTTTTTATTTTCTTCATTGCCTTTTTCTCCTCAGTCTTGCTTTTTATCTTAAATCAAATGACTCTAGATACTATATGAAAATCTTTTTATCAAGTGTGTTTGAAGATTGGTAACTTCATCAAAATAAAAAGTTACTTGATAAAACATATCATAAACTTTATACATATCCCAATTAATTCAAATGAAGTCTCAACTGTTAAATTTTAAAAATTTATAAATTTAGTTCTTTATTTTACAATTTTATTGTGATAAATTTATAATTTATTTTTTAAAGTTTAACATCATTAAAAAATAAATAATTATTTTTATTCTTCAATCATGTTAAAATTTAAAAAATAAATTACAAATTTATTATAATAAAATTATAAAATTAATGAATGAATTTAAGAATTTTTAAAGTTTAATGTTTAGAATCTCATTTTAATCAATTAATTTTTTTAAAAACTTATCTGTCATTCTCTTTTCATGATTTAACTTTTCTAACTACCGTGTGACTTTTTTCTTTAGTGTCGTGGATCGGGAGACTCAGACATTTTGGTTAAAAGAGAAAAAAAGAGAGAAAAGGAAAATTAAACATTATATATTCTTATACGATTTTTCGTTTCTTTTCCCCCAATGAAGTCCTTACACTTGATCAATTGGTCCTTTCATCTAGAATCAATCCACCTTAACCGGAAATCCGACAACAATCATCCAGTCACTGGAGTACCTGCCAATGACAAGGCTGACTCTTTTTTTCAAAGCTTATAAACTTTTTTCTGAAAATAATTTAGGTAAGATTATTGATATGACAAAAGGTGGCTATTGAGTAAAAAATATCAATCAAATGTTTTGATCATAACAAAATTTAAAAAAAAATATTTATTATTTATGCAAATTGAGTATCATGAATCAAGTGATAAAATCTCAAAAAAAAAAAAAAAGAGTATGCATGAAGAATATTTAAAGAAATTATCTCAAGAATAGTACACATGAAGAAATGAAAGTGAGCATGAAAAAAAAGAACAAAGTTGTAACATGCATACTACACTCAAAAGAAAGAAAGAAGAGTCAAGGAAAAAAAATAGAACTGACATAGGTTATATTTATTTTATTCTTCCATTAAATAAATTTATGAAAACTAATTGAGAGCTTAAATATAAACTAAAGTAAAATTGTATCATATAGAAAGTAATAAGCTCATAAGTCCTTTAGTCTTCAAAAGTCTTATCCACTCAAGGACAAGAAATATCCATGCGTATTTGACACATATTTGCATGCACTCATGATTTACATTGCTCCATCCATGCTTTGATTGTAAGTGTCCCACGCATGTTTGGTTATTCCTTGTGCATATAGACAACTTAGGGGATCTCATTCAAACTCGAACTATAACTAAACTTTGCTTGAATTAGAATATCAGAAGTGGAGATATAGCACTGCATGCTAGTTCACACTTAAACATACTTGTATCCACGCTTGATTGGCAGTGTGGAGAAATGTCATAAATAAGCTTATGTAATCTGATTCATGCTTGGATGTTATTTTTGTCCACACTTGATTGATCCTAAGTGGCAGCTTGAAGAGTGTCTCCATGCTTGGATTCTGTTGAGTCCAGGCTTGAATGAATAAAACACTTATTAAACTTCAAGTTTGACTTAGAGTGAACATTAGCACTGAACAAGCTATTCAAGCTTGATTCAGACGTGCCCAACCATGTTTCACACCATAGTGAGGCAAAATGCCTTTGTACACTCATTCACACTTTGATTAGAAGTTAACCGCACATGTTTTAGGCTTATTATGAAGCAACGTGCTTCAACCTTCATCAAACATACTTGAACCAAAATTAGTCCATGCTTGGATCAAGTGAAGTGATATGAGACCTAAAAGGGAAGTTAACTCATCCACACTTGGATCATGCCTGTTCACACGTGAATGAGAGTTTTGACAACATTGAATGCATGTCGTAGAAAAAGTGCTTTATTTGTCTTAGACACTTCAGAACATCTCTAACGGGAAATTGCTATAATCTGTCTCCAATGGTCCAAAAAACATTGTTCTATATATAAGACTTTATTTAAATGAGCGGCTAATAACATTGAATGAGTATTTAATGTCTTGCATTAAATTCTTATTTGTTATTCTATGAAAAAAACTCTCAAGTAGTTTGTCAATTTTCATTGTTTTATATTTGCTCTTTTTTTAGAGTATCTGTTGTGAAAAGCTATCTCATTTAGCTCTTTGAAATGTTATAAACATTTTTCTAAACATGATTCTAATAACTTACTTGCGTAAATAAGTGTGTTGTTGAAAATCAAGACTGATTTTGTCTTGTGGTTTTGTCCTATAATAGCAAATACCTATTAAAGCTTATGTTTGTAGTGAAAAATCTTAAATATGATCTTGAGGGCTGAAAATTGGCCCAATGGTAGGTTAAACTAAGGTAAGTCATTTGTATCTACTATTCTTTTTATTCAAAAATTCATTTCTTACTCACTAATTTATTTGTAAAACTGTTCTAAACTTTGCATCATTCTTCTAGTTGGGAAAAATTTTTAAGAAAATTTTAAGAACATTCAATTTACCCCCCTTAGGTGCTAGCCTGATTCTACACTTATTTCATACTTAAATTAATTTATTGCTAACTAAAAATAATATTATTGAAAAGTATTAATCTCGTTTGAAAATTCATCTATTTTAAATTTGGACTAAATTATTGGTAATATGGCTCCTAAAAATATGCACGGTCAATATAAAATTTGCATAACACACCACTAATGGAAAGCATTAATCTCACTTGAACAATTTAGAATTAATGGTCATTTTCCCCCCTCAAATTTATCTAAAAGGTTACTAGACACCCTAAACTTAATGATGTGTCAATTTCATTCCTCAACATTAAAGTAAAGATTCCCTCTCTCGTCATCCTACCATTTTCTCATTGTATTTTCATTGTTAGAGGCCTCATATTCCATTTTTTATTTTTTTTATTATACAATAAATTTAAAGGTCATTTTTGCCCCTCAACTTCATCCAAAAGATCATTGGGCACCCTAATTATAAACTTAACTATAGGTCAATTCTATCCCTTAATATTAAAAATTTTCTCCTTCATTAATCTGTCATTTTCTCATTGTCTGTTTTATCGTTAGTGGGTCCCACATTATATTTTTTAAATATTTTTATTATAAAATATTTGAGATTAAGATGCCTACTGACCCTTTAGAGTAAGTTGAGGAGCAAAATGACATTTAACCCAATATTTTATAATAAAAAATTTAAAAAAGTGCAATGTGGGCCTACTAATGATGAAGAAACAACGAGTTAATGGCAAGGTGATGAGGGAGAAAATCTTTAATCTTGAAAGATATAATTGATCTATAGTTAAGCCTAGGGTGTCTAATGACCCTTCAGGCAAAATTGAGAAACAAAAATAACTCTTAACTCTATAAAATATTTGAGTTCAAAGTACCCGCTGACCTTTTGAAATAAAATTGAGGGGCAAAAATAACGACAAACCCAATATTTTATAATAAAAAAATCAAAAATGCAATATGGGGCTACTAACGTCTAATGGTGGATAAATGACAAGTTAATGTTAAGTTGATGAGTAAGAGAAT